AACGGGAAAATAAAACCTAGATTAATAAATTATTCCGATGCCGATTTTACTAATAATTACGAAACCCGTAAATTAACGTCCGGTTATTTATTTGCTTTAAATAACGGGCCGATAAATTAAAAATCGAAACGGCAATCTACGATTTCTTTATTAACCACCGAAGCCGAATTTAACAAATTAAAACAGGCTACCCGTAAAGTAATATCGCTAAAAAATCTTTTTATAAAAATCGGAATTAATATAAATACCGTATTAATTAAAAAAAATAATATAAAGGCTATAAATTTAGCATATAATCCGGAATATTACTAACGTATTAAATATACGGCTATACGATATTTTTATATACGGTAAAAAGTTAAAAATAAAAATATTCGAATCGAATATATTTTAATTAACGATATACTAGCAAACGGCCTTATAAAGCCATTTCCTAAAAATAAATTTTAGAAATTTATTAAATTATTAAATTTAACCGATATTATTTAACAAAAGGAGTATTATACGGATATTAATACAACATCGTATAATACATAAAATTAGCTTTATAACGCATATTATATCGTTATAATAGCTATAAAACCTATCGAAATATCGTTAAATAACGATATATAGGAAATTAATAGAATTTACCCTATATTAATTTACAATTAATACAGCACTATTTACAGCTATTATTCACAGTGCTATATAGTTAATAAATTATTATAATTAACTATTATAGCCACTATAGCCACTAAAACCCACTAAAATCCAGTAAAACGTTCCACTGGATTAAGCCTCACTAAATGTGGCCAGTGCACCTGGCTATAGTGGTCCCAGGGTTATAAGGTAACCTATATTATAAAAATCTATAAATTTCGATGGTTTTTTCGATTATAAATTAACCTTATTATTAATTAATTTAATTATAAATCCAATTTATTAGTAATATATTCTAAAATATTTTTATTAGTTAATTTTATAGGTATAAAAGGTAGTTATTCCTTTATAGTTAGTTATTTTTTCTTTAAGCTTTAATAAATTAGTTATATAGCCCTATAACTACTCCTACGGCCTGATTCTACGAATTATACGAACGCTTCCCTGTGCCTAAGTTTATGATCCACCAATTATATCTTAGAACAATATATATAATATAATATATAGTGTAGTGTGTTAATTTGCTAATAATCCGCGCCGTATAAATTTTAAGGCTATAGCCGGCTAGCGCTTATTTAAATTAAAAGGCCTTAAATTAAAAAAATTCCCGTTAATTAGGCTTAGCGATAAGCGTTATAAAATACTAAAATTTATCGTTAATTAAATTAAATTAACTTTAAATTAAATTTTATTATTATGTGTAAAAAGATCGCGATTAACGCGTTATACACTATTATTTTAATATTAGACCCCTTATTTACTTAGCTAATTAAAGGGCCCCCTAAGCCTGCTTAGGCTTAACGGGTCTGCCATATTTTCGAAAAAAACCGGTATATTAACAAAACTACCTAATAATCTACTGTGCACACTACCTAAAATGTACTCATACACAGTATTCAACACCCTTCCCGTTCCCCCCTACTACCCCTACTAAACACTACTACCACTACTACCACCTTTACTACTCTACCCGTACCGTTCACCTTTTTCAGCCCTTTCCACCCAAACCCCCCAGTCCCCAGTCCCCAGTCTTCCCTAAACGGCAAAGTGACGCGAGTTCCGCATGGCAGTCAAGGTATGTTGGAGGTTCGAAAGGTACCTAGGTAGGTAGGTAAGTAGAAGAGGCTTGCTTGGGGGTCCCATACTTCCCTTACCAAGTAGCTACGTACTATGTATGAAATACCCCGTAGCTCCAACGGCCACTATCGAACAATGGGCGCAAAACTATGTACGCACGCGAGATTTCTCAATGTTGCCATTATGGACAATCTCTTCTCTTCTCTGGACAGTTGGTTAAATTGCATATAACAATAATAAAAAAAGGAACCTATCTACTATTGTTAGCCAGTCAGTCAGTCAGTCAGTCAGTCCATCTATCATATCATTCCTATCTTGTGCACTTGTCATGTACCCGGCTGGCCTCGTGACTCGGTCGTCCTTATTTTGCAGCAGCAGCAGCCTCTGCTTCTTGATACCTCAAAAAATACGGGCGTACTTCTATCAGATATATAACAAGTTGCATGCCATTATCATGTCCATCTTCAGCTTTTGTCAGGATGGAGTGTTTGTTATGCATTAACAATCACAGAATACTAACATGGACCCTGCTGCACACTTTCAGCAATTCAGGGTTGTTGAGTCAGTAAAGTGTGTAAAGCAGGCAGAGCAAATCATCAAGTCATACTGCTAAACAATGACAAATAACCCTCCCCTCTCTCCCTCGTCCTTCCCGGGTAACATGACACCCGTCCGTCCAGCCCAGCCAGCCAGCCAGACAGCCAGCCAGCCAGCCATTCAGTCATCAGTTCGTTGGAGTCCCTCTTCTTTCGACAGCCGCCTCTTCCCGCATCCCAGCGCCCCGGTAATCCAGCTGAATCGAGGCCCCTGTCTCGCTTCAGGGGTAGAAACCGCAACGGCCGAGAAAACCATTCTGCCGGCCCCAAAATCCTACCCTGGCCGTTGGGTCGGTCGGTCGGTCGGTCGATCGGTCTGTCGTTCGGTTGGCTCTCTGGACCTCTGCGGCTGGGCTAGACATTTCTGTAAATCTGGGGATGTGCCACTTCGTCCACCAATCTCACTGGCTACCGTCTTATGGGTGCATTACACACTCACTGCATACATACATACATATACACACAGCTACTCACTACCGACCGACGACAGTATGTATGTAGGTACGGTACCTAGGGAGTCAATCTCCCACAACGCCATGACCCTCTCTCATTCTCTACGTGTATAGTATAGTGGCTCTTTCCCCCCATGCTCAAGATTCCCCTCCATTCTACAGCATCTCTGCTCCGCCCCTTGCGAACTACTGGCACGTCATATCTCATACACACATAGTAGATGAAGGCTGACTTGGGCCGTGTTTATTTCCTGAGTCGCGTGCATGGCTGCCAGCAGGCATCACCATTCATCCAAGAACGCATACTAGATTTGCTGAGGGAGGGGACGAGGACGGGGGCAAAAACTATCCTTTCCCTCCTGGACAACATCAACCATGATTGATTAGCTGTCAGCGAGCGTCCTCCCTCCCCCCTTCTCTTCCCCTCCGACTCTTTCTGACTCGGTAACGTACGTGTTTGTTTATTCCGCTTGACCGCCTCAAATCCCAGAAGAGGAGGCTCTTGGCGATCAATCTATCTTGATCGAGTCCTCTTTCGAAAGGCTGAAAGGAGAGGGAGAAACATGAAAGGATCGCCCTTGGCAAAACGAATGCAGGAGTCGAGACACGGGCGGTTACCGTGGGCAGTGGACAAACATCCATGGGTCATCCTATACATGCAGAATGCATATGGACAAGGGGGCGCTCCTCTGACTCGCTTGAAAGGCCTGCCTCGGATAGATTAATAAACCAGCCGAAATCTGTCACTTGAAAGTGTATTTTATTTTTTCTCTTTTGAAATGAGACCGGGGGAAAAGTGACAAGCAATTAAATAGAAAACAAAGCGTCCATGGTAATGGAGGAGAGGGAGAGGACCTGCAGCCAGAAGGAAAAAAGAAAATAGTACAACTAATGTGAGAGAGAGGGAGGAAAAAAAAAAAAAAAGAGTGGGATGGGGAGTGTTCGAATGCAATGCAATAATGCAGAGAGTAGAAGTAGGGCTGCTAAATGAAACCAAGCCGTCAGTTAGATGTCGCGAGTATTCCCTACTCTGGGTAATGACGGGGCCTGGGGCAAGATTCGAGGCTGCAATAATACACATTTGTACATATATCGTGGGCCAAGCGAGGTGCCTTCTTCGCTGCTGCTGCTGCTTGTGATAGTACCTCGCTATTGCTGTTTTTGTACCAAATGGACGGACGGGCTGAACTGACGCACTACGCAATGAGTTGCAGGCGGGCACCGTTCGTCATGCTACATATTGGCGCTTGTAGGTGTCGCCAGGCGACCAGTCAGTATTCGTCGTTGCCTGCCATGGTTGAGTCTATTTACCTTACAATCGACGTACCAGAAGCCATTCCGGAGAGGTTGAGAGGGAGGGAGGGAGGGAGGTCAATGGACAGATAAGAATCTAGGTCCGAAGAAGAAGACAAACATGTAGAATGCGAAAGACAGAGAAACAAAGTTGAAGAAAGAAGGAAGGCAGACAAGAAAAGAGGTCAATCAAGCAAGTGAGGGACTGTATCGCACGTGGGAGAAACATGTTGGCTTCAATGCCGACTTCTCCAATTGCCTTCCTTCTTCCCCGGGTTCGGACAAACATGAGCCATTTCCATACGACGAGAATGGTTCTGGGTATATCTACTGCAATACGGCCAGTTCGAGTAACAATAATGGACCCCAAGCGTACCTAGGGAAACAGAAAAGAGGATAAACAAGGACGAAACAACCTGGCAATATACAGTTGCCAACTCCTAGACAGACCGTCCCAATTGCCTTACGCGGACCCCATGATTGCTAGATAAAAAGAACAAGAGAAGAAACATACCCTTTCCGTCCATGTAACGAAACCCTTGCCAGCACTTGGTCCGAGCCGTCACAAAATCTACGCCTTCTTACTTGGTCCCTTCCAATGCTCAGAATTCCACCTGGTCATCTCAACAGGGGGGAAGAAGGGAAAAGGAGAAACCTGTCCCGGGAAATAGAACCAAGCAGGTGAGCTTACTCCCATCTTCCACCGCCACAACGAGTCTCATCATCCAAGGAACCAACAGAGCAAGTCTCTTCGTCTGCTGCCGCTGTTTCGGTAAATTCTCTCGACCCCCCTGGAGACAACCAATACCTGCTCACGAACGCTGCAAAATATCCAACCGCCACCAACCCAAAAAAAAAGAAAAAGAAAAAAAAAAAAAAAGACGCCAGACACCCATGCTTGCTTGCTCTGCGCACGCATACACATGCAATCTCGTAATAATTATCCGCCCTGAGCCTTGGCGACAGTCTTCACATCTGAAAGATATATGTCGCCTGCCTCGCCACTGACCCAACGGCGCCACGCTTCGTCATATGCATCCTCCAAGTCCCTGACCCATCTCCGAGTGTCAAACAGTGCACAAGTCCATTTGGCGTCGAACAGGGTCCTGCGCAACTCGGCCAGCCTCCCCTGGCCTTCTCCGTACGATCGATTGGTCATTTTGTAGCTCAGTCCGCTGGCTAGTCTCGTGGCAAGAGCCTCGTAATCGTCTTCATCCTCGGCTATCAGATCCTCGGCAGCCCTCGCACCTTCTTTGCCCCTGGGCAGAGCCCCTTTGAGGATAGAAGCTGCCATCCGTGAGCACATCTTGTAAGGATACCTTGGCAATGTTAGCAGCGGGGTGCTCGACCACAAACAATCCGCCGCCGTTGTGTGCGCGTTGCACTCGGGGGTGTCTAGAAACAGATCACAGACACGAGCCCTGGAGATGTGCTGCTGCTTGGGCGCGACATCTGTAAAGATGATACGCGAGGCAACCTCTTCACTAGCCCACTGCTTCGCTGTCCTCCGGAGATTGTTCTCGCCCAGTTCGGGGAATCGTAGAAGCCACAGTACCGCCTTGGGCACATTAGAGAGGATTCGCAACCATGACCTGAACGTTGCCGGGTCGATCTACATGATACAAGTCAATAAAAAAGAAATTTCATCCTCGGTGGGGATCTCTTGAATCAGTCATCTCATAAACTTACCTTGTAAAGTTGGTTGAAGTTACCAAGGATGACGGCGTCATCGGGGAGATTTGGAAACAACTCCTTCCGCATCTTCCACCTCCGCGACAATTCCTCTTCCCATGTTATGCCTCTCTCCTCAGCTCCGCTGGACTGTGCATGGTCGCAGCAGAAGAAAGTATCGCGGCAGAAGATGATGTTCTCCGAGTACATCCAATCCTCCTCTTCTGCTGACTCCTCATCGCGGAACACGTCCTCGAGGCTGATATTGCTCCTGACAGGCCGCAATGTCGACGATGGGATGGCCGTCTCGTCGGCGAGAAGATAATCGCACCACTCGGCCCCCAGCGTGCCTGCAAATCCCATGAATGACATCTGAATGGGTGCGGGCCTTGCCGCAAAAATTTCGTTCCGGGCGCCGCGCGTGTACCCGTTCAGGTTAACCAGGATGTGTATCCCATCTTTCACAATCTGATCCAGCAGCCTTTCGGTTGACCAACTACTGGCATCGTGGAAGACGGGCGCCTCCCGCTCGATTTGTTCGCGATGTGTAGATCGATCACTAGCCGTGGTTGCGTAGCAGAACGCTTTTGCGCGTTTAATGTCATGCATGCCGAAGACAGATTGCATTCTGGTGATGGTAGGTTAGCAGCGTGTTTCCTTTCACAAGCGGATGGAATACTTACAGGTGAGCTAGCGGATGATTGTTGAAGTCCGATGATATATAGCCAACGTTGAGATGAGGTTGCGGCGGAGCCGGCGGGGGATACACTGAGTTGGGCAGCCATGGAGACCTCAAGGTCGAGCACGAAATACGCAAAGCGTTACGCTGAGATATCATGCGAATATCCCTTGCACTCAGAGGACACGTAAAAGTGTGGAATGGTAAGACAGTGGGCGCAGATGGCACCGTCAGAGAGGCCGGGATACGCGGTCGAGGATAGCCGACTTCAGACACTCGGCCGCGAATGTATTTGTCCTGATACCAAAGACGAGTTGTTGCTTTGATGGACCGTTCCAGGAGACGAAGTAGCCGAGATCCTTCCCAGGAACGCCCTGCCCACTTCTGAACCTCAAGCTCGAGGTTGAGCTCTCCATCGGTCCGATCTGCACCGGCAGCGCGCAGCTGTGCTACAATGGCCTCGAGTGTGCCATTTCTCAGCACACCAGCGCCCCAGTGTGAGGACTCACCGAGCTGTCTGCTGACTATATCGGCCACGCGGCTGACCAGGCCGAAATTGGCAGCTGTATTCCTCGCATCTCGTAGCATACCACCTTCGTCGACATGCCAGCGATCGTATCTGTAGCCTGGAAAGACGATGCCGCCACGGTCTCGCCAGTCACAGACTGAATTCAAAGCCGTCGAAAGTCCACACACAGCCTCGGCAAAATTGGGATTGGCTTGCACAGCACGCTTGTAATACATTACAGCATCATTGATACGGCCACGATCCTTGACAGCATTGGCCAGATTCGTCAATGCAATATCAAAGGTGCCATCACACTTGACAGCCTGTTCGTACAGTCCAATAGCCATATCAAGCTGGCCGACATCCTTGAGGAGACTACCCAAGTTAGTATGAAGGTGGACATGCTTATTGTCAAGTTCCAGTCCATATTTATAGTATGCTAGGGCCAAGTCGAGGCCGCTCCCCGGGACTATGCCCGGGATGGAGTATGTTGCTGCTGCGCTTTCTCCCAGAGCCTGAGGCTGTGGGATTGCAGACTGCTGGACGCTCGCAAGAAGAATGCCTACATTGTTGGCAGTCGAGGGGCTTTCCGACAAGGAGAGTGATAAATAGTATAGAGCCAGGATATCACCAACGCCGGGTGGCTGTCTCATACGAGCTTGAATCAGACCCCCATGAGACATACCATCTTGGAAGATTTTAGCCAAGGATAGCAAGGAATTGCTTGTTGTCGATATTGCCGACTTCTTGGAGACTCCGTGAGGTACAAAACGCAGCCCAGGGAGCTCTCCGTTGTTAGTGAACACAAGTTGAGCCGTATGCCTCGCCTTTTCGGGCGGCAGCAGAAGAGGCCCCGCAGGAATGGTTTCCTGGCCATGACCGAGAAGCGCATTCGCGTTTCTAGGGGCAAGGACATAGTGTATCCTGTCTATCAAGGATTGAACACACTTGACCCCTCTTCCCGCGCTAATGAGCACTGCTTCCTCAAAGGCCTCTGACGCCTTACCAATCTCCTTCAAGGCGTAGAGCATGTTACCTTTGGCATGAACTAAGGCAACCATCCGCCCATTTTCGCTTCCCGGGACCCGATAGCCACTGGAGCCGTAACCCGGCTGGGCGGAGGGAGGGACAGGCTCTCTGGCCACCAGGTAATCTACAATTGCCGTATCCGTGGGTATGTTTTCCGTCGCGGAAGCATGCAAATCTGCCCCTTGCATGATCCTTTGGTGACCGGTATTGGAATGGTCTTGAATCCGCAGTGCACGTTGCACGCTGCTGATGATCCCAACAGCCTCCCGGCTGCGCTGCGCTGAGCAAAGAAGCCCAACGAGATGTTCCACAGCATCCAGATAGCTCGGTTTCTGTTTGACGGCTTCAAGCCAATGCTCCTCTGCTTCGCTGTTCCGGTGCAAACAGTATAGTGTTGCGCCCTTGTTGCACAACGCCTCAATATGACTAAAAATACGTTAATGCGACACAGCGTCTCGTGGGCTCATTGGGCTGTGCCAATATACTTACCTCTTGTCGACGACCAAGACCCGAGCAAACCACTCAAGAGCCTCTTCATACTTCTCAAGTCCGTAGTACAGGCAGCCCCCCAAGAGCATGCCATCAACCCACTGCCAGTCACTTTGTTCGCACAGATGGTGTAGCACATTTGCAGCTGTCATGGCACTGTGAACTGGTGAGCCGCCAGTCATGGGTCGTTGAAGCCCAGCTGAATGATAAGTGACCGGGCCTCCATGGGACAGCTGATGAAATGAGGCGTTGTGCACCTCTCCCAGTCTCGCAGCATGCCCAGCAGTAACATTGAGTAGAGGATCATAGGACCCTCCATGACCGCGAGGTAGCTGTGACACTGGTGGTGTCATGTGTTGGAGCGAGTTCGCGTGACCGAAGGATTGATGTCGACTAAAGGTTGAGGCGGTTTGCTTTGGAACAGAAGGAACTTTTGGATAAATTATCATCTTGGATGACGATCGACCAGATGAGCGAGCCGAAGCCGACTTTCTGTGAGCATGCAAATGGGCCAGTAGCTCGACATAGGTCCGGTGGGCGTTTGACAAAGCTTTTTCACGAAACCCAACGGAATTTGATGAATCAAGCATGCGCGATCCTGTTCCATTGTATGCGGATGAGTCGAGAGTCAAGGATTCGAGCCTTTGCGCGGGCGTTTGAAGGTTGTTCTGCACTAGATCTGGGCGGAAACCATGCCCAGCCGCCTGGAACATTGGCATGGAGGGATAAGGAGCTTGTGGATGAATATATTGGTGTGCGTGAATGCCGAACGCGGTAGCTTCCAGGCCCTGGGCGTTCATCTCTGGCCATGCCTGAGGAGGAGCCATGCCACCATTGTTGAATATAGTAGGCCCAGGAGATTGTTGATAGTTTGGTTGAATGACGGCGGGGACACGAAGCGAATTATTATATGGGTAGTAGGCCCCCGAGGGAACACTTGGCGCAGAGTCGACAGCCATGGCAGGCCGCAAGCCGTGGTCGGGGCCTTGACGCCAATTCATGTCATAAGCAAAGGAATTCATGTCGGCCGTATTAAAGCCTCTTGGTTCGGAAAAGCCAGTCGCCATCGCAGCAGCAGCAGCAGCAGCCCCACGCGGCAGCCAGGCCGGCTGGCCAGCCGCAGCATAGTCATAGTTGGTTGAGGCAGCTGGAGTCGAGGATAGGCTCGCGGCGCCGGAGAGAATCATGTGCTTGAGGGGCGGTGGCCCTGTAGCAAGCTGGGCGTGTGTCCCATCATACGCGGCGTCTATAATGCCATTTGGCGTTTTCCTCCTCAGGTAGTTTTCGTTCGAACTGGGGCCGCAAGACAAGTGGCCCGAGTGCGGCGGCTGTGAGGCACGGATCGGGAAAGCACGGTGTTGTGCGAGAAGACCATGCTTGGGGCCCTGATCGAACTGGTTGTGGTAAGCGTAAGACTGCTGCCGAAAAGAAGGGTTCGTCTCGAACGGGTTCGGGTTCGGCGTCGGCACCGCCTGGTGCACCTGGACTAGAGGCAGCATTTACGCAACGGCCGTCGTCGTCAAAGGAGTGCGAACGAGTGGGCGGCCTCGTCATAGCCTGCCGATTACAGCACGGCTGGGCGGAGGGGAGGCAGGATGCATTTGGAAAGCCAGAGACGTTTCCGGTGAGGCCTCACGCGGCCAAAAGCGAGACGCGGCGGGGACTTCTCAAATATCTCTTGACTTCACGGATTGTCCTCGCCCTCTTCGATTGCGGTGCGTCTTAATCTACGCTGTACAGGTAGACATGGGACATATGACAAGACAACGTTACTGTGGCTTGAGTTATAGAAACAGCACAGGCGACACGGAGACAAGGAGAGAGGAGACGACGACGACGACGAAAGAGAAGGACGAGGAGGAAAAGCGATACGGATGAGACGCTATATTCTGCAGAGGCTCGGCTCCGTCACAGGAATGGGCGGCTTGGAGAGCGATGCGGGCTGTTTGAGTCGACTGTCTCGATCGGCGGAGATGAAAGAAAAAGAAAAAAAAAGGGAGAGGGCGGTTGTCGCAATGCTGGACGCGAGCGCTATGGTCGATGCGCAACAAACAGATCTAATCCCAGACAACGCCGCAAACGCCTCGAGAAGAAAGGCAATAGAACGGTATGGTGGTGGGTTGGGGTTATAGTGTTAAGTTTCTGATATCTTTCTTCGGTTCGATGGAAAACTGGTTCAGTAGTGTGTAGTCGTCGTAGTGGAGTAGTAGTAGTAGTAGTAGTGGCTGGCTGGTCTACATTGAGCTGGTTTGGCGTGGGGTGGTCAATAGTCTGAAGTCTGGTAGGCAGGAGAGGAGGAAAAGAGAGAGAAAGAGAGAGAGAGAGACGTTATGGGACAGTTTAGATTCAGGTAACTCTAGTAACCTAGGTACTTTTAGCATGTCTGTCCACCCACTGGTACAGGTCTTAGCGTACCCGAGAAGATACATTGCATTAAACCTTGTATTTGACCTCTGTAACAGCCAGCCAGCCAGCCAGCCCGCCCGCCCGTTTGCCTCGCGACATAAATCCTTTTCACAATGGAAACCATTCAATATGCTCTTCCCATGCAACATTCATTTTTGGATGCTCGAAATTGACTATTTGCTCGCAATCTCTTCTTGCTCTCTCTCTCTTACTCTTGGAGTTTGACCATGCAAGAGACCAGTGCCTGGGTAGTTACAGGGTTTTCCGGACCAACATAATGGGTGGGTAATGTAATGACTGGGGCATGCTAAAAATGGGAGATTGATTTCGGGTCGCTGGATCGTGCGGTGGTGGTGGTGCCCAGGTGGTGGTGGTGGGGGTGAGGAGGCCGAAGGAATGGGAATTGATGGACATTAAGCGACAGGGTGTTGGGTAATGTAGGAGCAGTGACTGCAGCCAGTGTTGAATACTACCTATTGACTGCAGTCAGAATGTAGCAGCCCTCGAGCAGTTTTGGTATAGAATGTATTGAATAGCTGCACATATATATGGTAGCGTACATGTCCAAATACCCTGTATCCATCGACTGACAAAGCTCCGGGTATCGGTTCTTGTCTTCTTTCTTTCATCTTTTCATGATTCGTATTACTTTCTTGTGAGCGAAAGGCTACAAAGTGCATCCAATAATTAGGAATCGAAACAAAAAAAAAGAAGTCTGGTTGTAAGTGGTCAATCTTTCCTGTGTAAATTATGCACAACCTGCCTTGACTACCGTGTAAACATGTCGAATTATCTATGTATAAAGTATGAAGGTTAAGCTTATGTAGTAGGTAATGTAGGCAGGCTATGCAATGCAGTTGCTGCATTATCTGGGGTAATAATACCTGCATTTAGTTCAATCATTGATGCCTACCAGCTACCTGTATTTGTAAAGATGAGTAGGTAAATAACCCAAGTATTTGTGATTTGCTACGCCATACTTGTTGCCCCACGACGGTATTCGAACAGGTCGATATCTCCATCCTTACCTTTAGGTCCTATCTTGTCTCTCCCGTCATGCTCGTTCTCTCTCTCTCTTTTCC